GAACAGGATATCAGACCTGCCTTCAAATCTGCTGTTAATTACTTGCACATTTCTGTGTCCCTCATCTGCCTTCCTGCTAATTCTAGCAGAATCCTGCTGAGCCTGAGACATTGTGCTGGAAGGCTGTCTAGTTACTAGCCCCTGGCAACTCCTTTCTGCTCATCTGCAGAGATAAAAAATTTAAGTTTGAATGGATGAACTGGGAACATACCATCCTAACAGGTTTCTGTAAAAATAAATATTGTCTGCACTGTGGATATTTCTGAAAAAAACACAGGTGTAGAAACCACACGTATTAACATGTATAGGCAGGGGGATATATATGTTACAGTAAAGATGTTTGGCATGGGGAGTTGGTGGTTTTGCTTGGTTTTCCCCATCTCCTGCCCCTGGGCATGCATTTCATTTTCTGATTCTAAACACTGAGTTCCGTCAGCAGTTGTGGTGTTTCAGTGCAATGCTTCCGTCTGTAAGAAAAGCAAAGAGGAATTAGTTCTGTTATAATCTGTGTCAGGAAACTCAAGGAATGTGTTTTTATTCTGTGTCCTTTGGCAATGTTTTTAAGCTAAAACCTAATCCCTTCTGAGGGGTACTTTCTGAAATTAGTGTATTTACGTTGTACAGAGGTGAAAATGTGCTAGGATAGTATAAATTTCTTGAAGGAGTTGCAAAAACTCTGTCAGAAGTAGTAGGAGAAGCACAACAAGAGAGGATGCATCAGTCTGGGTAATGGTACTTACTGTGATGCCCTCAGGTGAACGTGCTATAGGTGCCTTGTCCACAGTAAAACAGGAACTGGCCTTACACTAGAAGATGCAAATTAGTTGGTATCTGTGGGACAAGAAAGGCAGTTCTGAGATCTAGTACAAAACCTAACTGCTCTCTAAGTGCTTTGCAATTAACAACACGCTACCTTCCAGTTGAAATATCAGATCCTCCTTTCCGCTACTGGAGAGTCTGGATTAACTTCAGTATAAATAGGGTTTTTTCATTTCTGCGGATAAGATGGTGAACTCTGTCAGCAAGAAATGATGGGTTTACTTTGCACTGATATTGCATGTTATGAAGAGACTAAACCTTTGTCCAGAGAAAAGGAACGTCGGTGGGCAGCTGGTAAGAGCTGTGGCTGTGCCCTCTCTTTCATCTCTCTCCCTCTTGTTACTGATCTTATTATCAATTGAAATTAAATTGTGTTTGATTTTAATATAAGTATAGAATTAAGGGATATTTTAGTAAAAATCATTTATTTTACTTTTATTGTATTTTGAATCTAGCAACCGACTGCTACTCTAAAATCCCCTGTACAGCCCTGTACCAAGGCTGAGGGGATTGGTCATACTTGTTTGGTAGGAACGGTTAGAACCTAGGTAGCAAAACCTGATTTATAATACATACATAGGACTAGAAGAATGCAAGTAGTTGTCGAGGTCCAGGATTAATGGGAACTGAGGGCAGTAACCGTAACAGCTTGCAGGTACCTGCCAAGAAAACTGTGTCCTTAAGCAAAAGGTAATTCCGGCAGCGGGAGATCGCGACCACCGACTCGGGGACCACCTACTCACATTACACCCCAGAACCATTTCTAGACATTTCTAACCTCTACTGCGCAGAATCGGAAATAGGAGGAGAATATGGTAATGATTTATTGGAAGTTGTATGCTTATGCATGAAGACAATGAATATGTATGAGTAAGTTCTATAGAAGGTGTATGATTCTGGTGCCTGGCACGTGTTTTTGGTGAGAGCACTCCCCTACACGTCCGGCTGTCAGTAGTGAAGTGTCTGCTTATCTGCATCACATTGGTGTCGATATTTTTTATCCCGGGTTTCGGTGACACTCTAAGCCGCCATCACTGAAATAAGATTGTTGCTTCACAGCAAATGACATCTGGGACAGCATTGCAATCTGTCGTGCCTTACAGGCATATTTCTTGTGTCAGAATAATACTGCTTGCTCTGTAGATACTGTTTCAAAACTTCTTACAGAATTCAGTGAGCATCATAAGAAGCTTTAATATTTCTGTCAAAACAGTTCTGATCACTGTGAGTCACAGTAGTGACAATGAAGTGCTTCTTTATGTACCTGTAATAAGTACTTTTTATTTGTTATCTTAGTATTCAGTCTCTACTGTGGCACTGTTATTCCCAGTTTAAAGTAACTTTAAATTCACACTTTTGTGGCTGTCTCTTTTGCTACTATTAACAGGCATTTGTTTATTCTTGTGATATGCTTGTATTTCAGTAACAGATACTTTCCCACAAGATTTTTAGACTTCTGTCATGTGTTTGTTCCCATAGAAATTGACCCAGATTTTAATTTTTTTTTTTTTACAAACAAGAGGTTTGTTAAGATTTCTGGTTTGAACACTAACAGAAATTCCATAGCTTGCATTTTAGATTAATATAACAAGCTTAGTAAACTATGAAACACAGATAATTTCACTCTGTGTCTTCTGAAAGACATTATGGAGAATTCCTCCAAGATGCCCAACTCAGTGTCTGTATTCATAGTCCTGTTGGAAGAGACAGAGCAAAGACAGAAAAGTCCAATACTAGAGGAAGCAGAGAAGAAAATCTTGGCAGTTAAAATAAGCAGCATTGACAGCTAATATGTTTTGAAATGTTGCCCACGATGGTCACACTGCTCCAGTGACAAATGCTTTATTTTCAAGAAGACTAGAACAGAATTTCAGTATTCTAGCTTTAAAAGAAAAAATCCTTAGATGGATGTTTGATTTGAAAGGTTTACTTTAAGTGCTTTTAAGCTGTTTTTTTTCTGATGTATTTAGGGGCATTTTTGTAGTTGCTGTTTACTGAGAAATCAGTTGCTGGAGTGGGAAATTACTATTGCATCTTGAATTACACAGTATTTATGAAATGACAGGGTAGCTGTGGTAAGCAGCTGAAATATGCTTGGATTAGTGGATATTTAATTTCCTGTATGGCACAATGTATTGCTGCACAGTGTAAAGACATTAGTTTCCTAAGATCCAGACAAAACATGTTTCTGTGTTCCATTTCTGATGTTCTTGTGACATGTCATAATGATGACCAAAGAGGTGCTGAGAAAAGAGATCCTGTAGATTATTTTCTCCTAGGTTTTGAGTTAATTACCCACATGAATCTGAGGTAGTTCAGTTGCTTGTGAGGCAGACTGAGGGGCTGCTGAAGCCAAAGCTGGAAAGAAGGGCTTGCTGAGGCATTACTTCCTGTATTACTGGTTTGTTTATGTTCTGCTGTTTACAGCATGTTACTCTCGATTTGTAATTGTTGGTGTACCTATCGAGCAGGCAGGCTTTTTTTTTTTTTTAAATGAAAATAAGTCACAAAATAATAAATATAGCTTTTTCATACATATAAGTAGTACGTATGACCTAATGAGAGATCAGAATGCTCTGTGTTAGTATGTAAGGCACAGCAAAATGACCACGTTCTGCCCTAAGCAGTTTATGAGTTAGGTATAAGACAAAATTTTCACATAAAAATTACATTTTATAGTACGTGACATTTTTCAAGTTTTTGGTGAACAGCAGCTACCTAGTCCTCCTTCGGGTTCTTTTGACACATACAGTATTTCATAGAGGGCTGGCGGGTCATATGTTCATGCTAAATACATTGATCTCTGACTTATCTTTGAGCACTAGGATACAGGTGTTCCTTCTCCAGCCTTTTTGTGCTGATACTTGACAGAGTCTTGGATTCTAGATACTTGTCCGCTAGCATGAGATATCACTAGAATCAGTAAAATTAGAAAATCAGAAGAATTAATTTCTCCAAGATATGAATTGCTTCTAGACAGGTAATGTTTTTACTTACCAGGCAGTTTGAGCACTCAAAATTTGAGATCCGTTGGTGAGTTTGAATTGGATACCCATTTTACTTGAAATGTTTCTACCTCAAGTTTGAGTGAGCATCCCAGTGAGAACAAATGTGCTAAGATAGTTTTAAAATTTACATCCTGCTTAATTTGATGTTGTCTTTACATATTGCTGTTTTCTCTTGGTTTTTGGGCTATGCTCTTGCACTCATTCACTAGAGTATTTGGAGACAAGAAATAAAGGATAGGATTAACACTTGTTAATTCAATTAACAGTTGGAAGTAATGTAGAAACATTTGTGCAGTTTTTGCACAGCTTGTGCATGAGAGCAAGACAGTTTTTATAACTTACTGGTATTCAGCTTCTAAAGCTTTAGAACCACTGATGTTTCATGGGCTTTGAGTCTTCTTTTCCCATCTCCCTTAGAAAACTGCCAGCATAATACTGTTAGCATGATAAACAAGCTTTAGAGAGTGAAACGAGGTTTATGAATGTTTGACTTATGTCTCTCAGGAAAAACACTTGTTTATTGCCTTTAAAATATGCTGATTTGATGAATAAGCCACGCCAAGAATGGAACAAACCCGTGTGAAATGGAATGAAGTGAAAATGGTCTGTGTGCTGGTGTCAGCCAGTGCTAGAATCGTAAAACTAAGTCTGCTATGTTAGTGAGGCACTGACAGGAAAAGGGCTTCTGAAGTTCAGAAGTAAGGTCTCCCAAGGATACTGTTGTCTGTAGCATCAGAGTTGCATATCGTCTGGTTTAAAAAGTCTTTGAGTTGTTAAACAAGAACCTTTCCTTGTGTGTGCAGAGCAACCAATAGTCTGCACTGCGATTTGATCCCTGGATTACATGAACAGCGTTAGTACACTGGTCCAGGCCTACTTCTTTTGTGCACATACCTATATGGTGCTTAAATGTTACATACGGGTAGCCTGAAACACTGCTTAGTTACGCACCTCGAGTTACACATTGGCCTTAGGAGCAGTTATGCTGGATACTGCATCAAAGCCCTCTTTTTTTCAAAAAGATGGGAATTTGATGGGCTCAGACTTGTGCACTAAAAATAATAACAATTAGAGCTGCAAGACAAATTTGTGTCTGATTACTGTATGAATGGAATTGGTTATTTAAAAATGGTTATTGGCTGTTGTTTTTTTTTTTTTTCTGCTTGTTTACAGGTTGCATGGCCGATACCATGAAATGGCACCAAACGTTGTGCCCATGGACTATACAAAGGACCCAGATGTTAAACTACCTATGCAGCTTATAATAAACATGCCTGAGCTAAAGGTATCACTTCTGACTGCTTACAAACTGTATCTTAAGTTATATATAGCTCATCTGACTGAGGTTTTGCCAAGTGAGTTTGATATCCTGAAGCAATGTGGCATTCTGCGGTCTTCCCCGTCCTGTTACTTACTGTTCAAGGGCAAAACCAGCCCCAGAAACTGGAAAATATTTAGGTGGGTGTCTGTCTTGTGGAGATAGTTGGGATAGATATTAAACAAAATGAGTAGGAAATAAAATTAAATTTAACAATCCTTCCACTTTGTATATAGCGATTAGAAGCCAGTGGGATCTCTGTGTGAAGAGCAGGTTAGAAACCAGTTCTTATCTGAGTGTGATGTTAGGAAATTTGCCAGAGCTGTGGAGAACACTGCTAATTGAAAGAAAAGATTTTTCCCCTTCCTTCTTAGCTACAAGCGCACAATAAGTATTGTTTTTCTTAATAATTAGTTTTCATTTTTCATGAAGTGATGACATGGTAGGAAGTGGAGAGACAATCCAAATAACTGGGAGAATGAGAGAAGCAGTAGGCATAAAGCAATCAGTAAAAAAAAAAATTGAGACTGTGTTTCTTTTTACTATTTTATCAGTTCAACAATTGAATGTGGTTTAACATGGATTTTTAGCATATGTTTTTTAAAACAGTTCCTTGCATTATGTTGTCTTTGTTCTCAGTCTGTTTTTTTGTTTGCAAATTAGCTGACATCTTTAAATAACCACCATGTAGAAACAACTATTGCATGAAGTATTATTAAGCTTTTTAAGAGCAATGCCATAAAAACTTGCAATAGATGGTCTTGTACTTTATTTTAATGATTTAGAAAGTCTTCTTTAATGTTACTGAATATTTGGAAAAAAGGTATAAGCATTGCTGTGTAAATTCAGTTGGGGGGGAAGTTAACATAAAGTGAAAGACATTTCAATTGCATTGCAAGTTCACAGAACTCCTTGTTCCTTTAGTACCACACTTAGTGCATGTTTGATTCTGTGACAATACCATTATTGAAAAAGAAGTACATTTCACTCTAAAGAATGTTTGTTAAAAAGTGTTTGAACAGCACTTCATATAAATGGAGACTTTATTGATTAAACACAAATGAGCATTTACTTAAATAGATCTCTGAAAAATTTTCATCTTTCAGTTATGACTCTGACTTACCAGATACCTATGTACATCTTAAAAATTTGGGCTTCTGAAGAAACTGAGAAATTATTTAGGATTATTTTTCACATGAAGCATGGGATTCTTCATCAAAATCCCAGTGTTTATACTCTAAGGATGAGTTGTCCCTGTAATAAAGTAGATCAAGAAGAAACTTTTAATTTCAAAATTACACATAAAAAAGAAAATATAAATTAAAAAAATTTTATAAATATAAAAATGCAAGGAAAACTTTAGACATCATTAATTCTATCATAAAAGCCATAAATGCCACTGTCATCAACATAGCGCACCTGTGTTGAGTTATTGAACATATTAATAGTTAAGGATTTTGGTAGAGCTGTTTTTCTAATTACTTTCCTTAACAAAATTGTGTAGTACAGGAACAAAATTAGCATATACCTCACTGTTACTTACATAGTTACAAAACTGAAACCTGTGATGTGCTACAGGTTGTTCCTAGGACTTGGAAAATGGTTCTTTCATCAGCTGGTTGAAAGTTATTCTGCCTTCTAATGCCTAAAACTGCACAACCCAGCCCCAATTAGAATCCAGGTCCAGGATAGTTTCATATCAGCTGTGTGCATGTTCCAAGTATGTGTCCTTGACTGCCACGAGTATAAATGTAATTCCCTCCTCTGAAGCTTGCAAAGTCGAGCTCCCTTATCTCACCTGAAATAAAATTAATGATGTTTAAATCGTGCAGGCACTGCAGTTTAAAAAAAAAAATTCTTCATTGCCCATTATGTTACACAGTGTGAAGTAGGAACAGGGTATGAAAGTAGTGTTATTCAAGGTTTGTTTATATATGAACTTTTAGTATCAGCAGCACTCAAGAAAACATTATTGTTTAACAACAGTAAGTGTCTAAATGTATTGAAATGTCTATGAAAGAGCCGAAACTATGTGCTTGTTTACTTAATGATGAAAAAAGTGCACCTACAGAAGTATTAATGGAATTTTAAAACAGGGGGTGTAAAGATCTTGCCAAAAGGTTCTTTTCAGTTCATTCAATTGCAGAAAATATCTTACTGTATGTAAACCATTCAGGTATAAATATTTCACATAAGTTTTGTATATAACACAAATGTTTGTGTTGTTTTTCTTATTATGCAAATAAGGAAATTAGGCAACACGCAAAGTTAATACTTTGCAAAAATTTTAGTTACCTCAAATGGAGTCCAGTTTGGAGATAGCAATAAAGATTTCAGACTTGATTATCTAAAATTAGATGTAAGACATAATTAGGCATCAAAATCAGTAGCCTGTGAGAAGTTAAGAGCACAAGCAGACCTAATTAGGCCCGTAGGCTGTATTCTGTATAGTGTTATATTACTTAATGGGGCTAAAAGTTGGGAATTAGAATGCTTTTTCTGTGTGTCGTCTTTGTCCTACCTACGAGATCATGGGATCAGATGAGAATGGTAGCAAGAGGTGAATAGAGGAGAATAGTGCACTACTTTTCACAAGGATGAGGAAGTATTACATGAAATTACAGACAGCTGACATAACCTGTGAATGTATTGAGGAACTCACTGCCCCAAGACCTTATGGCAAAGACAACACTGGTCTTCAAAAAATATTTAAGTGCTCTTATAGAGCGGAATTCCACAGATTGCTATTAAGTTTTATGATCTGGATGTAATATCTCAGACAGTCCCTGAAATGCTCATTGCATAATCCCAGAATATACTATAGGAAGGATCACTGTGTATATCTCCTTCTTGTTTTAAATTCTTGCTTTATCTGCTACTGGTCCCAGTTAGACTGGTGGGCTGGATGGACTGATAATTATGACAGTTCCCATATAATTGTGTTTTTTTCCCCTTTAGAAGCAATCCCTAGATCTGTTGGATTTATCCTTAATGCACCAGCGAGATTTGTCTGAGGTGATTTAATCAAAAGACCTGCTCTTAGCAGGTGCAGGGAACTGGTCACTTGAAGCTTAGCAGCTAGTACAAAAGAAGAAGATTCTTCATCTTGAAACAGGAATATTTGCCTGACTTACTGAAGTGCTGTCATCTTGGATGGACAGCTGTACATGACAATGACAGGTAGTGCTGTATGGAATACAATACAACAAAATTACCAATGGGCTTATCTACATGAATATAAAATAATCAGGTTTTTTAGTAGCTGGCAGGATGAAAGAGCATGGGCTTCACAATGTCTATATATGTGGGAATGTCTTGAAGTATTCTAATTGTTTTCAGCCACCTGCTGGTTTTGTTTATGCAGAAATATTGAATTCTTACCTTCATGATAAAACGTATCATCCTCAAAGGTTTTTGATTCATTCATCCATTACTGCAGTAGCTTTATATCTCTCTAACATGTCTGCAATTCATTCCTCACTGTAGTGTCTTAGGTGCTTATACTGGCACTTCTAGTGTGGACAATCAGTACTCCTTAAGGCTTATGTCATTATCTTTAGGATCGTGATAGCACAATAGGAAATTCTCTGGCTCAGTTATGTGACTCTGAAGAGTTTAACTGTCAGATAGCTGATAGTTGCTGTGTGAAAAATCAAGACTAAATTCAGAAAAGAAAGTGAGAAATGATAATCACAAACATTCTTTTCAGCTTCAGTGATAAAGGATTGAACACTTAAGGAACAGCTCATTCTATGAAAACTTCAGAGATGGAAGACTACTATACTTACAAGACAGCCTGGTACTTAAGCTGAGATACAAACCAGAAATTTTATACCAGACCATGATTAAATTTCAAGTTACAGGAGCACATCTCGCTACCTTAGCGAACTTAGGTGGGAATGATAATAGACTTCCGTAAATCAAGTGGATCATAACCTGACTTCTTGCACCACGTCAAGTCTGTGAGGCTGTCTGACCCTGCTTTTGAAGAGGTCTCCAGCGTAATGGAACTTGATCTTATGAAAATAGCAGGACAAAATTCAGTGTCAGTTATAATAATTCCCTCCCAAGTCTCATAAGGCTGTGGAATAACCTTAGAAATAGGGCTGTGAAACCACTCATTTTATTTCAGGAATTCTAGCAGTTTGTAGAGAAAGTGCTTTCCATAGCTAGTGATCTTGTTTCCAGTAAAATACTGGTTGGAGGATACTAGATCTTCCTCCATAAGTCTTTCAAAACATTGACACTAGAAGATACTAAAATGCCATCTAGAATCTCAGTTACAAACCGGGTCAGTCCTGGTCATGGAGCATTTTGCAATTACCTGTGCAGATGGGGACAAGGGGAAGAAAATCTTTCCCCTAGAGTTCATTTTCCAGCAATCTAGGTAGTAACTCCAGCTCATACAGTAAGGAAAAAAAAAACCCCTAACCTTTGCAACTTGACCACACTGCTAAAGAAATTGTTATGGTGTTTTCTTTCTTCAGTAAATTTTCATCAAGGTGAAGACAAGCCAACATTTAAATCTTAAAATAGAAATAAATGAACTAAATGTCTATTGAATTCTAATAAAATTAGTGATAATTTCAATGCACCTGGCTTTTTTCATATACACATTACATTTCTAGTTCCTGGCAATGTTGAGCTCAATACCATTGCAGATTCTGACAAATGGATAGAATCAATAATGCACTTTTCTAAATTAGATTCTGCTACTATAAAGAAAGATCTTTGCCTCACACATTAATGTTTTGAGCCAGGATTTTTGTGTTTCAAAGAAAAAGAATGCGGATGGTCACTCACTTTAATTGATAATGAATTATTCACTAACTCATGGTCCTTAAAAGTTGAAAGTCAGGATGGGAAATAAATAAATAAAGAAGGAGCAGATACTTTAAGTTGATTAGGTCTACCATTACACTGAAGTTAACAGAGAGGTAGTTTACTCCATCTCTTTCATTGCGGTC